TACAGTACTCTTGCCATATCCTCAGAAGCTACTGGGTCTGTGATACTGGATATCAAGATTAAAACAGTTAATAATGTAGGCAGACAATTCCACTGCAATCCCAGACACCTCATTCAATCTCAGTTGTGTTTGGGGTAAAATATAATTTATTAGGCATTTAAAATATTTAAAACACAGAAAGCCCCAAAAGTAGTCATGATATATGTAATCATTGCTCAGATAACAAAAGTTATGAAATTATTCTGGTACAAGCACATTCAGTAGGCCAAAAAAAAGACAAAGTTGTTGATAAAATAAGTAGCCTAACAAGATTAATTGATAAGTTCATGGACACAAAGTTTTGGAGACAAATCTCTCTCTTGGTCTACAAACAAAGAACAAGTTCAAATGAAATATCAGACAAATGTCTCACTTAAAAGTGTTAAGGCCCTGATATACTTTGATATGTGAAACCAATGAACAAACAAATGATGTCATTCTGAAATCTGGACAAAAAGTCTGTTTGGAGTTTATTTCGGTTGTTAAAATTTTTTTGCAATGGCTGTTAAACCCCTCCAGCTCAGGACCAGCTTATGATTTGAGCTGTCTGAACTTGAGCACGCAAAGGAGGTGTAATATGTTAACGGCGCCTTCCACAGACAGCTGCGTGCTCGCGGAATTGAAAAAATAACGGTCATTCCGTTTTACTGACTGACTTGTTCGTTTATCGATCTCTTTATTGAATTATTACAGCTATAAGAGTAAATATGATCTCGGAGGGATTTGACATGCCTAATTGAAGAGAAAGTGATGTTAAGCTAGAATTTTTTGTTTACGGATCAAAATAATTTAATGTCCCGCTGTACAAACTCAGTACAACTCAAAACTCAGCCAAAATGGGTGACCTCAACTCAACTTTATTTCTAAAGCACTTTCAAAAACCACAGTGGGCACCAAAGTGCTGTATACATGAAAAAAAGAAGAAGACAAACATAAAACCCAAATACATACAATTATACAACACATTATTAAAAGCTAAAGAAAATAAATGCCTTTTTAACATCCTCTGAAATTACCCTAGAGTAGGAGATGTTTTTTAAGGACAGTGGAAGCTCATTCCATAGTCTAGGAGCTGCCACGGAAAAAGCTGTATCTCCTCTACATTTCAAGTCAGGACCTAACTATGGACACCCTTACTTTTAACATAGGAAGTGAGGAGGATTATTCACAAGTGGAATACATTCAAGACAGACACCAGTCTTCCCAGGAGTAGACGTCCCATGCAGGAAATTCAGGTCAGACCATACAATACTCTGAGAGTAATTAGAAAAAGACCAGACAAGCATGGCAGGATAGCTTAGGTTTGCAAAGTTGCATCTGAACAAACCATAAGACTTCTACAATTTTGAAAAGACAAGACTAAAGTGGAGATGTTCAGCTGTACTGCACAGCACCACATTTGATGAAAGCCAAAAGAGCATACCAGCACGAACACCTCGTACCAAAAGTCAAGCATGCTAGACAGGTGATAATCAGGCAGGCAGAGATCAGACAGGACGAGGTAAACCAGGCTAGAATCAAGACACAGGTTAACCAGGAAACTAACAGGACTGACTGGAACTAAACTCCAGAAACACGGAATGGCTCCGTAAAGTTGCTATCACTAGGAGAGTGGTAAACGCAGACAATACTCTGCGATTAGAGAAGGATTTGAGTGGTTGTTATGTTCTTTTTAGCAATGTAATATGACCCCTTTAAAGTGGCAGATTACAGGTGATTAAAACACATCAGCATAATCAACAGGAAAAAAAAAACAGGAACTATTGAAGCTTTTTAGCAGCTCTGTTAATACTCTCAATCCTTAAACAAACCTTACACATGATCATCAGCAAAAAACCATCATCATCGAAAAGTTTTATTAAATGCTACAATTACCATACAACAGCATAATATTTTCTTATGAAATATGGTTAAATTTTCTAATAACTATCAATAAAGAAATTAGATTATTAAATTCTTTCTCTTTTGAATGTGAAACTGGCAATGATGACACCTTTTTAAACCTTTTTTTTTTCAAACAGCAGACACCAGAAAACATTAAAGCAATGACGCTGAAAATGTTAGTTAAACTGTAAAGTGTATTTTATGGTAAATATATGAAACTTTGTGAATTGCTCAGCTCACCTCAGAAGACTTATGTGCAGGATAGCGTCGATGGCATCATCGCCGCAAGAGGTGGGGGTCAGTGCTGATGGGGGGGGGGGATATACCCCTGGGTTGAAAGCTCAAAAAACAATCGTGGTGCTTCATGGCTTTCAAATACAAATATTACGAAGAATCAGCTAGCAATAAAAAAAATAAACAATCAAAAGTTGATAACATAAGAAATTGATTTAATAAATTAATTGCTTAAGCAACTACAAAAATCTGATGAAAGACCAGAGTGAAAATACAGATGAATTTTCAGACATTATGTCCATGTGAAACTCTGTCCACAATAATTACATTCAGCTTTAGTCCAAACCAAAAAACAAAAACAAAAAAACATCAGCTTTCCTGCAGAAAATATTTTTATAAATATTTCTTGAAGCTGGTCTTAAAGATTAACTTTGTTCACTGTAACATCTTATATACTAATGATGTTTTAATGAGGCTGGTTGGGACAGATTTATATGAAAGAGAGCTTTTATTACTCAATGTGTTATTGGGTCATATTTGGGGAGGACGCAGCAACACACTTTAAATGAGCTTGAACTACTTTAATTTCAGACAGCTGTTTTTAGTATGACGGTGTAGCGATCCTAACTGAGTGAAACTTTTCCCACACTGATCACATGTAAAAGGCTTCTCTCCACTTTGGGCCTTCTCATGTGTTTTTTCTCCAGTGTGAAATCTCTGGTGCTTTCTCAATGTCACAGCTGCAGTAAAGGTCTTCCCACATTCAAAGCACATGTGATCCTTCACACCACTGTGTCTTTTCTGGTGAATTTTTAAATTACCCAGCTGAATAAAACTCTTTCCACATGAAGAACACATGTAAGGCTTCTCCTTTGTATGGACTTTCAGGTGGACCTTCAGGTGTTCTGCCCTAGGAAATTTTTTACCACATTGATCACAGTTATATGGTCTTTCTCCAGAGTGAGAACGCAGGTGTATTTTAAGAGTGTATGCATGTCTGAAACTCTTCCTGCACTGATCACATGAGTATGGTTTCTCTCCAGTGTGGATTTTCATGTGTGACTTAAGGGCTCCTTTTAGTGTAAAACTATTCCCGCACTGATCACACGTGTGCGGCTTCTCTCCAGTGTGGATCATCTCATGATTCTTCAGATTTCCAGTCTGACTGAATCTCATGTCACAGTGTGAACACTTGTAAGGTTTTTCTCCAGTGTGAATTCTCTGGTGCCGATTCAATACAGCTGCTGTTGTATAAGTATTTCCACAATCAAAGCACATATGATCCTTTGCACCGCTGTGACTTCTCTGGTGTAATTTTAAATAATCCATTCGAGAAAAACTCTTTCCACACAAACAAATGCAAGGTTTCTGCTTTGTATGAACATTCAGGTGCCTCTTCAGGTTTTGTGCCCTAAGAAATCTTTTGCCACACTGATCACAGTTATATGGTCTTTCTCCAGAATGAGAACGCAGATGTAATTTAAGAGTTTTTGTTTGTGCAAAACTCTTCCCGCACTGATCACATGCGTGCGGCTTCTCTCCAGTGTGGATTTTCAGGTGATCATTAAAGCTTCCTTTTTGTGTAAAACATTTACCACATTGATCACATTTGTAAGGCTTCTCTCCAGTGTGGGTCCTCACATGTATTTTCAGAGTCCCAGTCTGACTGAATCTCTTGTCACAGTGTGAACACTTGTAAGGTTTTTCTCCAGTGTGAACTCTTTGGTGCCCTTTCAATGCATCAGATCTAGTAAAGCTCCTCCCACAATCAAAGCACATGTGATCCTTCACACCGTTGTGTCTTTTCCAGTGTAATTTTAAATTATCCAGCCGAGTAAAACTCTTTCCACACAGAGAACACATGTGAAGCTTCTTCTTTGTATGAACTTTCAGGTGCCTCTTCAGGTTTTCTGCCCTAAGATTTTTTTTGCTGCATTGATCAGAGGGTCTTTCTCCAGAATGAGAATGCAGATGTAATTTAAGCGTGTTTGCTCGTGCAAAACTCTTCCTGCACTGATCACATGTGTGCGGTTTCTCTTCAGTGTGGGTTAAACGGTCTTTCTCCAGAATGAGAATGCAGATGTAATTTAAGCGTGTTTGCTCGTGCAAAACTCTTCCTGCACTGATCACATGTGTGCGGTTTCTCTCCAGTGTGGATTTTCATGTGAGGTTTAAGACTTTTTTTGGATGGGAAACTCTTTCCACACTGAGGGCAGGTGAAAGATTCTTTGGCTCTTCTTTTCAGTGAGCAACGAAACGATTTCTTCAGTTTTGACATGATGATGTTTCTCTTCCACCTAATTTGGTTATTTACCTTCCTCTTTCTCCTCCATCAGGTCTAAAATTAAAGATAAAAAGTCATCAGGTAATTTTCACAAAAGTGTTTGTGGTAGAAACAGACTATTTGAGACAGGAAATATATGCCAAAAGTGTTTAAAATTCCTATTATTATACTGTTAAACTATTATTCCTCACAAACTGAGATGAGTAAGACATCAATAAAACATCAAAACAAATACAAATGGCACCCATCTTTACAGTAGTTGTAAAAATAGTACAGTACAATTTTTAAGCTAAACATAGTCCATATAGTAGTAATCTATCATTATGAATATAGTTCGCTTTTCTAATAACATTCACAAGTAGTTCACACAACAGAGCATTGACAGGGCGTTATTTTAATGTTTCCAGCTTGTGATGGATTTAAAAAGTCTTATTTAAGACTCAATATGAAATATTTTAGCACTAACCCTTCCAATACATATTTTAATTTAACAACGTAAAGTAACTAAAACTGATTTATTACACAAAGGTACATGTGAAACGCAAAATAATAAAATATGTTTTTTGCTGCATTGATCAGAGTTAAACGGTCTTTCTCCAGAATGAGAATGCAGATGTAATTTAAGCGTGTTTGCTCGTGCAAAACTCTTCCTGCACTGATCACATGTGTGCGGTTTCTCTTCAGTGTGGGTTTTCATGTGAGGTTTAAGACTTTTTTTGGATGGGAAACTCTTTCCACACTGAGGGCAGGTGAAAGATTCTTTGGCTCTTCTTTTCAGTGAGCAACGAAACGATTTCTTCAGTTTTGACATGATGATGTTTCTCTTCCACCTAATTTGGTTATTTACCTTCCTCTTTCTCCTCCATCAGGTCTAAAGAGGAGGAGTAAGACATCAATAAAACATCAAAACGAATACAAATGGCACCCATCTTTACAGTAGTTGTAAAAATAGTACAGTACAATATTTAAGCTAAACATCGTCCATATAGTAGTAATATATGATTATGAATATAGCTCGCTTTTCTAATAACATTCACAAGTAGTTCACACAACAGAGCATTGACAGGGCGTTATTTTAATGTTTACAGCTTGTGAAAAGTTTTACTTAATTTGCAGACTCAATATGAAATATTTTAGCACTAACCCTTCCAATACATATTTTAATGTTTCCAGCTTGTGATGGATTTAAAAAGTCTTATTTAAGACTCAATATGAAATATTTTAGCACTAACCCTTCCAATACATATTTTAATTTAACAACGTAAAGTAACTAAAACTGATTTATTACACAAAGGTACATGTGAAACGCAAAATAATAAAATATGAAATTCCCAAATCCAGGTTTGACAGTCATATTATCATTCCAAACACCGAAACTATAATTCATACCAGCACAAAAACACAAAGACGCTCATTAGTGAATTTAACATTAGATCCTCACACTGTTGTTTCAGTGAGCAGATGCCAGAAAAGACACAAATGGTGGTTTACTCGAAGGGAAAACAATACAGAAATGACCTCAAACGTGTTACTTAAATAGTCGTTTTTGGATTGTAGAAATACAATACGAAACACAGTGATTGAACAGCTCAACTTACCTCAGAAGACTCAACGCTGAGAAAAAGTGAGTGTGAGGGCGCTAGTGGTGACGTCGTCTTATTCTCTTCTGTTTATTGGCAGTTGGCAGACCAGCTTTAGGTGCTTTACCGCCTCCCACTGAAAAAAGATGGAGAAGTTTAATAGCCAAGTAATTTAACTTCACTCCATCTTTATTATTCTCAAATCTAAAGTAACATGAAGTGCATTTTATTGTTTTTATCATTACTTCTGGACAATGAACAAATTCTGCATTTGACAAATGTTTGTTTCGTTTATGCATACGTAACATTTGTTACAACTTCTGCTCTCTCATATAGTCTCTTACCATAATCATAATAAACATTCATCAAAGTCAGGGGCGTCGGACAAGGGGTAACAGTGGAACAAAGTAACAGAGGCCCTCAGGGAGGGGGGCAACAAAGATTTACTGATAATTCATAATATCATGACAACATTTCACACTTATAATCAGAATTGAAATTGAAGTTATCAAACACTAAATTCTAAATTAAATATAGATGAATCCTTAATTAAAGCTATAAAAGTTATTGATTTCCTCTTTTTCCCACCTTTGATTAACAGACATCACAGCAGCTGGTTATTAGGTTGTTTTGACTGCTATTTCTTTAAGAGCTGTCGCTGCTGAACATGATGCATATCTGACACGCATTGCATTTTCTCTCAATTCTCTTTACCTTTTCTGACCCACTACAGGTCTTAAAGTCTCTACTAATGAACTGATGAGTTGAGTCGAGTGTTAGATGAGGGTGCTGGCTGCTCCAGTTTTTAAAACCATTTCAGAGACATGTTCTTACATGTGACTCAACTATGATATATTACATGCATGCACAGTTTTAAGGCAGCTTTAATCGCCTTTTTGGTAACTTCATGACTTAACTGACCACAACATTGCATGCACGTAGTTTATTTTGCACTTTGATATGAAATGATACAGGCTACAGCGCGCGGTGGCACATGCTGCGAGCACAGTACTGTTTCCGCGCTTGTTTGACTCATGCCTGGTGCTGAAGTTAAGTTGGATGCATGTGCATGTCTGAAATGTCTCCCATTTGATGTGCTCGTAAAGACGTTTTGCGACTAAATAACTGTATTTTTACAGTATTTTCTCAAGGAAAAAAAGAGACCGAAACAACAGCTGTGAGTGCAGTGACCAACCCCTGCATTAACGGCGTTAAATATTTTTAACGCGTTAAACTGAAAAAATGAATCGCCTGCGTTAACAAGCTAATTTTGACAGCACTAGTAATAACTTATGGTTGCAATCTAATGTGGTCATACAATGTTGAAATATTTTATTTGTGGCCTTTAGTATCCAGCTAATCGCTCTAACTGCTTAGCATTTCTCATGTAAACACTCTCTATTGTTATGAAAATACCCAAAATCTCTAATATTAAGTAAATGAGTCAATATTTCTCCAAGTATGTGCACTTTTGGACTAAAAGCCCTAATGGACGCTAGGGCTGCACAATTAATCAAAATTAAATTGCAATTGCAATTAGGCAAAAGCTGCGATTGTCATGCGCATCTTTCAGTGAAGCACGGTTCTGTGATCAGTAGTAAATCTTCATCCGAAGGCCAGAGGTCGCTTTCGTGCTGAAACTCCAAATACGCCCTGCACAAGAAATCCAGGAAATCCCTATAGCGGTTGCTGAATAAACAGAAGATTTAACTGCTTTCATTGATTCAACGTGACTAATAAACACACGACTAAAACAATATATGGTTTATCCGAGTTCATCTTATTATAATTTTCATCATAATAAAGTATATCATAATGCAATGCTAATCGACATAGCCTTTATCACTGCTTAGTAGGGCTGCATGATATTGGAAAAAAAACTCACACTGAGATATTTTGTTTTTGTGCAATATATATTGCGATATGAAGACAAAAAAAAACTAGACTTGAATAGCTCTATTTGGGGAAAAGAAAATCAATGATTGGGGTGATTTTGTAGGTGAGTAAATCAGCATAGAAAATAAATGAATTACAAGCATAGATAAATATAATAGAACAAAGATACAAAGGAAATAAACAGTGCTTTATATTTTTCAGGTAAGTCTAATAGTATTCAGGTACAGAAACGTAATAATCCTATGTAAAATAACACTACATGGTCTGCACT